TGCAGAACATTCTGAAAACAAATAAAATACGCCAATCGTAGGGACGGCGTCCATTAAGTCAAGTATTACCCGCCAAACGGCCATACACTTTTTCTTGTAAGCAAAGTTCTCAATCACGTGAGATGATCGTATAAGTAGTGAATAGCTTCAGTTGGATGGAGCAAACCGACTTGGCAACGGCTGAGAAAGTATCAGAAAGAAACAATTGAAGAATGAAACATGTATAACGCAAAAGAGATAACTAAGACAAAACGAACTGCTTAAAAACCCCAGAGTGAGTTTTGCTTTCGCGCGATTAAAGCTTAAAAAGTAGAATCAATTTCTCAGAAAGGTAATTATTAATACTACCTGTTATTGGCTTTTGATTGGTCCACGTGATATGAATGGCAACAAATTAGTTTGTTGCGGGTGGTGCTAGAACGTCTTTCTCTTGTTAAGTGAATAACGTACTGATTAACACCAGTTATTGACCAACTGGGGGATATTCCGTTCTCCGTATACAATCTCAAACATTCACAACGCCGTCTCTTACTCTCGTCCATAAAATTTATCTACTGACTACTGGGGATGAGCAAGTTGCGAGCACTCCTCTCTCACTCTCTTACTCACTCACTCTCACTCACACTCACTCACTCACCTGTCTTACAGTCACAACTCCATCAGGGGAACAGCTAGTACAGCAGTTGCGCCCCGAGTTGACCTTGGCATATCCAGGAATAAGGGAGGGTGTATGTGTGGTGCTTAACTTGCTGAACTACTCGCAGTGAAACTCGGTGCTAGTGTGTGAGATGCATTTTGTAATCTGACTGACCGATTATATCTTTTTATAATATTTCTGTGGAATCGACTACGGAAAATTGGGAAGCCAATTCTTTTTCATTATTCATCTTCACGTACTAATATCTATAATAACGATATCACGTACTCTTTGATTCGTAATTACATTTTCGGCACATTGATTGTAGATATTTCCTGTTTTCTTTCTTGACTCAGGTAAAAACTTGTCGCCTGCCGCCTTGTGTATGACAACAATAGATATGCAATATCTTCTTTGAACGCGGATGAAGCGATCCGTTGATGATTTGTGCGGAACTTTATTACGACACGTGAATGTAGTGCTGGGGCAGATCATTCAATTCATTCAATTGGTACTTTGCGAGCTTTTGTTTACGGTTAATTGCGGAGCCCATATAGGCATTGCTTTCCTTAATGGACGCCGTCCCTACGATTGGCGTATTTTATTTGTTTTCAGAATGTTCTGCAGGGTTGTTCGATGATGGCTTGATTACAAGAACAGTTTTTGCCGAGTTTGCTTCCAATAGGTGATCAATGTCTGCAAAATAGATGCTATTCTTGCTGCTTAATGGTCAATCTAACTTTTGTTTTTCCCCTGTTCGATGCAACAAGAGTCCATCCCCTGAGTTCCAACCCCGATTACATACAGATATGTGTAATGCATAGTGAGTACGTCCACAATACGAAAATAAATCCAGACAGTGACGATTTAATGAGTATACGTGTTTGCAAAACAAGGTTGAGGGAGTGGGTACATAAACTATTCGGACAAATCCGCCGATTGCTTTGCAAGAGGATACCCGACTGTAAGTATTGTTTGCAGATTGATGAGTAGGGAATGGTATTGTGACAGAAATAGAAGTGCGTTGTGCGATATGCGTTAGCCACATAGTAATAACAAGTCCAAAATATATATACATATCTCTTCTATATATTTTATACATCCTCTTGTTGTCCTAGTTGGTCCGTTGATCCAACCACTCTGCTCCCTCAAATCTGACCCCAATCATCGAATGTGTTCGTAATGTATCCAATACTTCACTGACAAATGATCTATGTGTTTTAACGCCAATACCTTGGTACAAGGGGGGAAATAAAGTATAATTTATTTGTCTACTGACGCTTATATGATGAATACGCGTAATATTTTGAATGCAAGAACTGTGATATTTTAATTGCTGATGTAACCGCTTATCATTATGCAGAATAGCAGTTACATTCATGAACAAATAAATCACACATGAATCAATGATGGGATATTACTCGATCATCAGCAAGAACTTCGGAAGGGAGCAGGACGATCCGAATATTTGCTTCGATTAGATCCGCTATTTCAATATAATTTTTTAGACTATTATTATTCTAATCAAGTAACCCTTCTTCACATAGCATTGTGTTTATTCATGTCCTTATCGAGTTCGCGCGGCATTTTGTGGTGTGCCAAGATCGTGGGCAAAAGTGGGCGTTAACCAATTTAGCTGCTCCGCATGAAATTCATGACAATAGCATCATGTATCAAGCAGATGACTAATGGTATGACTAATAGCATGATATAGTATTTGTATTGTCTTTGAACATTTCGGCGATAAACTAATCTACATTTACATTAACCAAAAAAACCCACTAACATGCGGTCGGTGAAACCTTATTGCGGCCGTGATTGGTGACAGTGATACCATTTACCGTTCCGCTCATGCGTGCTAAAATTAACGATCGCAACAAGGCGAACGTTCAGTTCGGATTATGAACAATGATTTTTTTTGTGTTATTTATCTTCATTTACTCCTATTGAACAGAAAACAGAAAACTCACGTTATATCTGGGAAAGATGTAAGCGACAAAAAATTTTTCCTATTGGACGACAATGTCGAATAAGAAACGCCAGATCGACGTAGTGCAGAGCGTGATTTTTTTTGCAGGGTGAGAATCAAATGTTTTAACATCTTGACGAACATCATATTAATATCACTAATATATTATTTAATTTATAACATGGAAATCGCCGATTATATGATGATGATGATGATGATGATGATTACTATATAATATTATTATGAAAATCTTTCCGGAAAATTTGAAATAAACAACGTATATGTTCAGGTTTCGAATTCGATTTCCGAATCAGCCGTGACAATTACTAACATTCATCAATACTATATATAATATATGTTACATCACAGCTATCAAATAAAATGGTCATACTATTACAGTAGTGTTAATTGCCGAAGGCCACATGATGATGTGCAACGCTATATATGTATGTATTAATATATATTGATATCCCATTCTCTTCTCTCTCATACTTGTTACTGACCAACGATTATTGGTGCGCAAACCGTCATTTCATGTACGAGTAACACATTATATAATATCGTTGTATATAACACCTTTTTATGTTGACAGATAGACGCGTTACCGTAAATAAACAGGGGGTGGTATGCTATATTACTAGTGACAGACTAAGAACACACTAGTTACGCACTAATAATTGTATTCTAGCTAAATTTAATTAAGCCAGATGTGTTTCTTATTGCGATACCAATCAACTCTGGTTCTGTCAAATGTGTTTAATAAAATATCAAACGCATACAACTATAGCGCCGGGGTCCAATTGTGTCATAGCCAATTTTCTTATTTCCTAAATTTTTTGATCATCAGATTTCCTACATATTTTTATTTTGACAAAAGCGTACTCTCTTTCTGTCCCCGACCTCCCAGACTGGCCAACTTTCACCCATACACATCGAGCGTATTCTTTCCTAATATATATAAAACCATACCGCAGCTGAATATATGCAAACTATATTGTATTCGTGCTCAAACTTTTTATTTTCAGACATTCTCGACGAACAAGTAGTATATTAGACTGTCGAAATATTGGCTGGAGGGAAAAGAATATAAATAAACCCATACCCGCAGACCCTCGCAGGTGAAAAAAAAATAAAATAAAAGAAGTACTGTATCGAGGTATTGTATTATACTTGTTTTATTTCTATCTATTAAACTTTTTCTGTTGCTTTTCCCTGTAGTCCAAGTATTTGGCCTCCTTCATTAGAAAATGGACCAGCAATCAGATCTTCCGCACTATCAACCAGATTACCCACCTCGCCATGTTCACCAACCTCCTCACATTCACCCTCAACACCGTCTTCCTCCGCAGCCACCACAACAATCAGCAAATTCTATGCAATTACAACAAATGCAACCGCACATTCATCAACAGTCTATTATGGTAGATCATCCACCTCATTTGGCTCTCAATCCAACGCCATCTGCATCAATTTCTCCATTTTCATTTCACAGCGGGAGCAGCAATCAGAACCACAACGTGGTTTTGGACAAATTCTGGCATAAACAGTTGACAGATATTGCCAACTTGGACCATGATTTCAAGAATCATCCGTTACCCTTGGCTAGGATTAAAAAAGTTATGAAAGTTGATGAAGATGTAAAGGTGAGTCCCTGACAGTATGATCAAATATGAGTATGCCATATCAATACAACAATGTGCTTTTTTGTGCGTGATCGGGCGATGGGCGGAGCGGGCGACCGCTGTTTACCGTTCCGCCTACAGCATAATTACTACGAATAAATATAGTTAGTGTAACAAGCGTGGCAATCCTGACCAAACACACATATTTACTTTTTTTCCATTGTCTTACAGATGATCAGCTCCGAGGTGAGTGCACATCTCTATATAATATGAAACACCAATAATATCAATCAATTAATATAAATCTGTTTCTTTAGGCACCAGTGATATTTGCTAAAGCATGCTATATTTTCATTATTGAATTGACTATTCGCGCGTGGTAAAGGTTTATTTTGATACTTATGCACGTTTGCGTTATAAAGAAGAAAAGGTGAATGATCGGCAATCGTGATTAAAAAAACCAAAAACTACTATTATTTAATATTATCAGGTTAAATGCTGAAGAATCTAAGAGGAGAACACTGCAAAGATCAGACATAGGAAATGGAATTAAGAAAGTAGATATGTTTGATTTTTTAGTAGACATTATACCACGAGATGACAAACCCATCAAGAATGAAAAGGTTGGAAATCAACACGTTTATTATTATTGTTAACATAACACAGCTCACGCGCTATCTAATTAATACAACAGCCTGATCACCCATCTCATTATCCTTACGGATATGGAGTACCCCATCATCAATTCAGTGGCGTACGTATTCTATTATATTGTCACATCAAGCGCGTTCATTTTCTAGGGAATTAAACCCGAATTTACATCAAACCTGCTAACAATATATTCACAAAATTATTAATCATAGCCAATGAGTGAAGATCAAAAGTTAGCTGTAGATTCTCAAGTAATCCCGTATCAACAGCATCCATCGATATCTCCATCTGTTCGTTACGGCGAACCATCCGTTGCTCATGGACATCCTTCACTACCGATGCCCAATATATTACCTCATGGTCACCATCCTATACATATTCGGGAACAACAGCAACAACAACAGCAGCAACAGCAGCAGCAGCAGCAACAACAGCAACAGCAACAGCAACAACAACAGCAGCAGCAAGTTGCGTCTGAACAATCATCTTCTTCTCCCGGATATATGCAAGGGTATTACGCTCAGAATGCAGAAGGAGACAGCGGTTTTATACCCGAGAATCAAGTGAAGTATGAATCAGCAAGAGGAAGCGAGTGGTATGCACATGGACAAAGTACACAGCATGTGTTTGAAGGAGAGAACAGCAACGCCTATGAACAATCATTTGGAGGAATGCAGAGAAATTAAAACGACTCATTTCTGCGGAACAATCAATATGTACAGCAGCATTAAAGATAACCTAAATAAGTGATCCAAATATGATGATATAATTTGCATTGAGAAAGCAACCTGAACAGCATGTTGGTCGTTGTTAATTCTAAATTACGACATTGTTAACTTGGGTTTCGAGTTGTTGGGAACGAGCTCTTTGACGTCAAGGCAGATTGATAAAGACATTACGAGTCTGCTAGAAAGTTTTATAAGGATTCACATTATGAAATAAGCAGTATGAAAATTTTCTTCATTTGAAACTCTATGTTCCTTGTCCACACAACGGTCGAATTCCCCCCTTTCTATCTTGCTATTTATACATCCCGCGCGCTAGTCTTTTTATGATAAAAATTTAGCAAAGTTTTTTCTTTTGTTCATCACTCTCTGATTTTTTTATGATTTACGTAAAAACGCTAAAAATGCGCACTGGCCAAACACACGTGTTTGCTTGACACAAAAAAGGTCAGGTGGATCACATATAAATCATGTGATAAAAGGACTACGAACTTTGGGCAAAATAAAAAACCCCAAATAAAAAAAGTAAACAGTGCGACCGCACAATAAACAGATTTGTTTAAAACATGTAATAGAAAGCGGTCATCGTACTAACTATCAAAGTGAAATTTCCAAGATCAGACTGTCATACGCATTCTCTCTTACTCTCATAATCCAATTTTACATATACCGAAACAATTGCATTCATGTTTGTTTCCTCATCATTCCTCACCCCCTGATTTCACCTTCTTGCTCTTCTTCTTCTTCTTCTTCTTCTTCTTCTTCCTCTTCTTCTTCTCCGATTTCTCCTTCTCCTTCATCTTGAAAATCAATCAATATCATTGCACCAACAAACAATGAGACAGACGTAAGAACCACAAACGCAAACACTCTCGGCTCAAGTAGCCTCTTGCTTGCACCCAAGAAGAGCTTTGTGTATGAACGTGGGTATGGTGACGGTACAGATGTAGCAGGTGTTTGAAGCATTGGATTTTGATTAGACATTGGATACAGAAAGTGAGAGAAAATATCACGGAATTGAGTGTCTGACATTGTGGCAATTATAAGAAAAGTTATGTGTTGATGGTATGTGGTACACATTTGTGGAAGCCTCCGTATATAACACACGTCGCGTGTGACAACAATGGCAATGTGTTCACTTTACTTTCTTGCGATTTACATGTCTCATCCGGTAACCACACTTCTCCAAAACCCTAAATCTTCTCTTCTGTTCGCTGTTATTTTCTATTTTGCCCTTGTATTCATACCCCTTCACTTCACTCCGGTCGTGCGGCCCTTCTCACCTTCAATCGAAGTGAAAACGTTGAAAACATTCAACACAGATGTCACGGAAGACAAGAGAAATGAGGCGGAGGAGAGAGTAATTATGTCCGTCGAGCTTGAGATTGGTGAGTAAACAGGGTAACAGCGAGGAATTGAGGGTATCGACTAAGAGTAGTAACTAAAGATTAATAATTGACCGTCGGCAGATGCGAGTCCGTTGTTCACTGTGTTTACTAGAACCGTGTGGATTGGCCTACTGGCCGAATATAAGTCACATGACAAGGTAAAATATTGATGGATTTAGGACAGATGCGATCAGTATTTGCTTATTTAATTTTATATACTTTAGAATATGCACCAAGTCATGTTGTGGTCAACGACAATGGAATCACGACATGACGCCTATGTTGGAAAATCAATAAAGAGATCAGGATTCAATCATATTCGGCCCAGTCTCAGGTAATCGTCATTTCTTAACGTTTCTTATACTATCTATGATTATTAGTAAATGCTGTCATGATACAATTAGAGGGATGAATATGTCGGTCGCATTGACATATTCCGTAGCATCGTATTTTGGTATGTACGCTCGCGGGAGAATTGATCCAGAGGTGAAGCGAGAGTATCCATTCCCAGATCCATATGGATAGTGTCCGTTTTATATAAGGGAAATGGTACAAATCAAAAGTGGAAGCAATATAGTTCAGAGATATATCTTCTCAGACCTTTGGAATCTCCACGACGAGAGCGGCCTTCTGTTCAAGTTCTGACTTCGGATACAGCTTATCTGGTGAACGTTCGAAAGGATAAAGCGGATGTATAACAGACAGACAGACTGGGTAGCATTTCGGCATGCATCAGGTTGTGAGCTGGTTCGAGCGTTTGATTCGACTGCCGTGATGATTTGGATATTCTCTTTGATGATTTCCTACTACTGCAACGTTCGGCCATTCCGCGTTCGAGTTAGTTGAGTTTACTTGCATTTGATCCTTCAAATACTGAACTTGGAATTTATAGTCCTTTAAACTTTTGTACCAATCTCTAAATTGCCTTCAGAGTTTGTTTCCTTCCCATAACTCTTTATGAGGACTTTGAGCATAACACTAACAGTAGCGCTTGTTCGTGCCGATCGGCAGTGAGAGGATACGTTTCTTTTAATCTAGCGGCGGGATATTTTATAGGTTGGAAAATTTTCTTATGAAAAAGTATAACGTATATGCAGTAAACAGTACAGTCGACTCTCTTTATAAGGGCCACGCTGGGCAAAGCAAATCAGAAACCTGGAATCATTAATAATATGATTTGAGAACGCACATATAAAGCACCAGGTCCTCCTTATAAAGTGAGATGGTTGCCTTCATTTGGCCTATAAGTGTTCTGCCTCGAATGATCATAGTCATGTTCTCGTAAATTTATTACATATGAAGTCGAAAATCCTAATACTACCAAATTATCCTTGGCTATTATTGGTTTATAATGACTGCTACCAGCCGTCATAGATAAATCTGATTCCCTTTTGGCGTGGAAAAATAATATGATACAAACTTGTTACGTGGATCGTCTCACACCATTGAGCCGTTGACATATATAGCGGCAATTTCCGTTTACACGATACTGGCAAAGAGCATAAACTACGAACTTAAACATGTACCTCATGCCAACTTTGATATAAAAGTTCGACCTCGGTTGTACTCTTTAGAAAAGTAGATAGCTCAATCACAAGAATGCGGCATGAGATTTCGCCAAACCGAAGGATTAGGGGATTAGGTCAAACTTTTTCATATTGTTTGTTTGTTTTTTGACGGAAAGAACTTTTTCTAAATTTGCCAGAAGTAAATCAGGTTCTTTTTCCCCGAGGCTAATAAATTTTTGGGGTATGGCTTCATCCATAAAAATATTGCACATTCTAGCATGGGGGGTCCCTCCCTCATTACATCCAAGTATATTCTGTGCGATTGTCAACGGTTTAACTGGTATGACTATATTGGCGCTTTTTGTAGCATTGTGCTTAAGTTGCTGGTTGTGCGAGTGAGCAACAAACTTGGGTCGTAATACGGTTGCAAGTATGTTAAAATATGCACATTCGAATTGATGTAACAAATAAGTATCTTGCGAAATTGTGTGTGATATTAGCACATATCGCATCATCGAGGTCGTTCGTAATTAATTAGTTAAATAAATTAATTATTCACGTTTTCACAACATAATCGGCGCATATGACTCGAACCGTTATTATGCAATAACGGGATGCCCAAGTTTGATGAACCGTTACGCCATGGTCAACTACATACCTATTTTTAACACAAGCGTTTCTACTGGATTTGCCATAATAGTAAGACAGTCGGTTTATTATTTTCCGTTGTTAACAGATACATTAAAACCAAAGTTTGAACATTTTTCTGGCACAAAACTATTTGCTTAGACAAATTATAATAAGTACTTTCACAATTACATAATGCACGTTATTTTAACCCGATACTTTTTTGTTAAAATTCCATTCATTTATTTATTTCAGAAAAAAAAAAGACTACAACCAGTTTTTGGATAAAAGTGCGTCTGTCGGAACGTATAATGAAAAATAACTTTCAATATAATTAAAAATAAACTTTTTGGTTTTAAACTAAAATTTTCTACAGGTCTAAATTTGACAAAACTGTTAAATACGCGCACCGATAAGGACAATCTCTGATGTGTAAATTTTATGTAACAGAAATTACATTTGCGCCCTATTTGGTACATAAATGCTAGCCAAATTTAATCTTCAACCGTTCTTGCATGATATAAACAATGGTAATTGGTGATTATTTTCCATAACAATATTTCTATCAGTAAAATAAAAAATAAATTTGTAAGAAAATCAGTTAAACCTATCGGTTATAATTATTGAATCACTAGGAGCAGCTCAAAATGTTATTCATTGCACCAACAATAATTGTATTTTTATGTGTAGATGTTGCTGAACTGCGTAAGAGGGCTAAAATAAGCGGATAAACAATGCGAAAAATTTGTAATATTCTAAATTGTTCACAAATTCAAAACTTGTAACCAATTTAAAAATGACAAAGTCATTATATTTACACACAAACACACCAGCTCAAACAAGTTAGATAGCATCCAGACAGAAAATAATAACTTTGTAAATACTTACTTTAGTGACGAGTGCGAAGTGTGGATTATACAGTGGCATCTCCATAAATGCACACCCCATAAGTGCAATCCACCTCTAAATGCAACCCGTTTTCTGCAATTGCGGTCCCGCCTTAACAGACTTATTTTTCTAAACGCAACTTGCGTAATTTCGTAATGTTATTTGCTGCGAAAACGCAATGTAATAGTAAGCAGTAGCACATTTGATTCAGGCTAAATTCAATATTAATATCAAATTTACATCACAATTCGCGCATACAACATTATTTGTTATAGATCCGGTTTTACGTGTGAAGAATAAATTCTTTGTAAAACATTGCTATATTTTTTCCCCCAGTGTTTGAGTTTGATCCCGTTTGTAATGGCTTTGAAACAGCAGATCGATTGTATTGGTACTAAATAAAAGGAAATAATTTGTCAGTATTTGAGTTAGAAACTGACGATACTAGTAATGAAATCCAATAATGAGTGCTCACGAGACACTGAAAGTTTAGAAAATGTCAAATCTTAATCAATAATTAGAAATATTTATACTCAAAGCTTTTGCTAAAAAGTATTATAAAAAAATTCTGTAAATTATAAAAATGTCTTTCCTAATGGTAATGGAACCCCTCTATAAATGCAAAATCTCCATAAACGCAACGCAAGCACTTCGTCCCGAGATATTGTTGGCGATTGAAAAGGTGGCACAACGTACTTCACGTGATGTACCCGCAATAGCACATTGTAGTAATAATGATAATAGCAAAATAAAATATGCCTGTTTCGAACTGAGCCAGCCGTTTTTAAATTTTGCTACGGGCCGGAACATTAGCTTTGGAAAATACTTGCAGTCGAATTGAACCCAAATGCTACTCAGCGCGACAATTGAAACAGAATTATGACCGCAAATGTAGCCTGCAGTAGTATCAACGAATTACAAAGTTTCTTGATATAGCAGACATGTATTGTTATTGTTATTGTTATTGTCGCAAATATTAACCCTAACATAATCGATTAGAACTCTAGTTCAGTGATTACTACTAAATTATCTTTACTTGAATTTTGCAGTTCGAGTCTTCAGTTAATTGTGTATATAACGCAGTTGTATTCTGGCATAGGATTCCTACTTCTGTAGAAAACCAGGATCCCATCCAAGAGTACATTGGGTTAATAACTATTTTTCATGCTCTTGGTCTTATTTTCTTCGATATTTTATTTTATGAAAGTCGCCTGTCAAGTACTGTACTTGCTTGTCTTTTATACAGGCTCTTTTGAAGGTTTAATCAATTAACACTATAATATGTGACTTAGTCCCACTGTCATAGCTCATAGGAAAATAAACATTCTCGTGCTTCGTCGCTTAGTTCTGAATATTGAACCCGGCACGTTTCTTGACAGTTTGAATAATGTAATAATAACGTACATCAGTACCGAGAGTAACACTTCAGATCAGTATGCAATTAAGTTATAAGACCCGTTCTGTGACAATGCCCGTCTTCTCAGCCTGGGCCATTCCCATATGCATTGAACGTTTCAAACTGAAGTGTTCCTATCGCACCGAATAAACACACGTCGAACAGCGAAGGAATTACAGTATTACGTGTAAGAATCTGTTACTTTCGGTATAAGTTGAAAGGTCAACCTTGGCAGAAAAAAATTCGCGCGTTTGATGAACCGACAATGACACAGGCAGATGAGTGGGAAAAGTCTCATCATTCAGAAGTCTTTTCTAATTCTAATTAAAATTTTTTGATTGATATTTCTGGGATTTTATCTTTACATGATTTTACAAAAATAACTATAATAAGACAGCATATACTACTAATACCAATTGGCTTCATGATAAAGACTAACTACGCGTTCATCCTATAGACATCATGTTGTTCCTCAAGCATACTTTTTGCAAATAGCACTCAACTCTGCAGCGGATTTTTGTAGTCTGGCTTTTTCATCCGCATTCAGAAATACATCGATTATTCTCTCGATGCCAGAACTGCCCAACACTACTGGCATACCAAGCACACATTGAAACTCTTCAACGTAAATACTCAGCGGCTTGACAGTTCGCTCATTGAATGCAATAGCCTGAACCAATGACGATACACACCCTGCAATACCAAAGTAAGTGGAACCCTTCAGATTAATGATTTCATATGCCTTTCTGGCAATATCTTTGGCCAATTTTTCTTTATCCACCGTTTGCATTTCAGGAAAATCGAGCAATGGTTTACCGCCTACATGTGCAGATGACCACGCGATAAATTGAGAGTCACCATGCTCTCCCAGCACATAAGCATGAATTGCAGTCTCCGATACCTACATACATGTAAAATTCATAATCAACATATATAATGTCTCATTATAATTATTATGACGTGACATTACAAACCTTTAGTATGTTTGCCAACTCCAATCTCAATCGAGCAGAATCTAGAAACGTACCCGATCCGAATACTTGATTCTTAGGTAGTCCGGACAATTGCTGAGCAATATATGTGAGAATATCAACCTATAATAATAATGATTAGAAAGTACTCGAGCGGGCAGTAATCACTAGTTAGAAGGGCGTATCATACCGGATTGGCGACTATTAACAAAATGATATTAGGATTTAACGGCTTCATCTTAGAGATCACACTTGATAAAATCTGGTAATTTCTTTCTATTAACTAGACGAAGCAATCACTTGGTCAATTAAGCTCGCATTGCCTAAGCGCACGTCGATTCGAGAAGAAATGTCATATACATATACCTCGACTCTAGTCTCATTTGGTTTTTGCTTAGCGCCAGCGGTAACAATTACGATGTCACATTGGCCAGCCTCCTGGAAATTACCTTGACGTATCCGAGTAGAAGTAACAAAGCCGGCATCCGACAAGTCGAGAACTTGTCCTCTAGCAGTCTCCTCGACAATATCAACGAGGACAAGTTCTGATGTTATCTTTTTCAACAATAGAGCATATGCAATAGTAGCTCCAACAGAGCCTGCGCCAATTATAGCTACACGCGAACCAACCATGGAGATATATAATCTTTCGACTGATGCAACGACAAAGGAAGGCAAGCGTTTTTTGCTGCTGTCATTGTTGCTCTATTGTTCAAGCCGGACTTTATAACACGGACGGTGAAAATGGCAATTGGTTTTGAGAAACTCACGCCATTGATGTGCAGGCAGAAAATTCCCACATGCGTCAAAAAATAGTGACGTGATTATCGCAATTAGGTGATGAAGGTCGTACGGAAGTTTCGGCGTAAACATTAATACATCACTTCATTACCATATTAATATGGGGCATGCTGCAACAAAACCAGACAAAGTGATCATCCTATAAATGAGAGGCTGATTATGATGTGGCTGTAAAATTGACCAGTTGACTGATGATGTTTTGAAACGTAATAATGCTGCTCATTCATAATTTATGAACTTGTTAATTTTAATTTACTTTATCATGCCAGAATGTAAATATAAACCATAATGTGATTAATATAGGATTACCTCTATTACTATTACTATATATAAAAATATTTATATAAAACTAATTTACATTAAATTCAAAGTATTAGAAGTATTAATTACTTTCTTACTTTCAATCAAGGTCATCTCTTATTTTCTTTAACTTCAATTTGAGCAACATGTTGAGTCTGCTGTTTTCTTAAGAATTCAACTTCACTTTCAAGTCTTTGAATTTTATCCAATAATTCTTGCTTTTGTTTATCATGTCAATCCTTTGAAACGTCTAAGGCGTTCAAGTGAGAACTGATTTCTTCCTTAGCACTGGCTAGTTGCTGTTTTAATATTAAATCCTTGTTTTGTTGTTCTAGTCTACCCACATAACTCTGAGCCATTATAATTATTTCTGTTATGGTTGGAGTTTTAACTGGTGGCTCATCTTTCTTTAAATCACAGAAGCAATCTTAATCTGTTCTATTTCTCATAGCTCGACCACAGTCGTTACAATGTGGTAGAGCATCATCATCAAGATCCTTTTTGCATTCAACACAGATATAAGCAATATCACTATAATCATTATTGCTGGTATTGTAAGATAATACACAGTGCCGCTCTTTATAGTAGACCTCCTTTATAGTGGAGACTAATTAAAATCGCGATATAGTGGATAGAGGCTCAAAACCGTCTGTAATAAATTCCATCTGATATAGTAATAGTGTATTTACTAATTAATTTTCAAAAACCCTCAATATAGTGGATTTTTGAGAATTTTTTGCTAATAGATTTTTTTGATACACTATAAAGATAATCTATGAGGACTGCTTGCCACATTTAACAGTGCAAAACGAGAGTGTTCTTAAGCTATTATGTTGATCAGACATTCCTTTTAGAAAATGTAATAATTTAAAATACTGCTGTCATAGTGCCAATGACCTACCCATTTCTGGTCTGATATCACCCCATTCCAAAATTGACACAAGTTAGAGTCAGCATGTTTATGTTCTGAATCCAGCTAATTAAAATTGAGCAGGTAATAATTAGAGAATCGCGCATTTCATTAATTTAACTTTAAAAAGTCAAACAGGGATGGAGCAAGGCAAATCGCGAATGGTGGGGACCAGGAAGATTGCTGATGCTCCAAGTGCATGTGGAGACTTGCACAGGAGTTTCCCCACCACCACTCGGGACAGGGAGATCACTGAAAACCTCCAAATTCATGTAGATACTTGACAGGAGGCCCCTTTCCGCCAACTATACCAAAACATAATTACCATTTTCTTTATATCGTCGGTTGACACGAGTTCTAACCCAACTGCTTCTTGCAGAAATCGTCATGTGCTATCAAGAGCATACCATTTATCACTATGAGAAGATGCGTTGACGACTGTGACGCGATTTTGTTCAGAAAGTCCGTGTATGACCAAAGGTGGGGGTCAAGCTCTTTCAAGTAAGTTACGAGGACTGTTTAAAAAGAAACATAATCAGTGCCTTGGCCCGAAAAAGACTCTGCTCAACGCCGGATCAAATTATGGGTCCGGTTCATTTCACCGACAAATTTTCGCCAGCACATAGTGGCCAAAAGTATTGGTCACATGATGATCATCATTGAAAACGCAAAATTTTACTTAGAATTCGAAACGACTTTATACAACAACAGCATTAACAACACCTGATAAACTTTATATCAATAAACTCGCCTAAATATGAACTTTTTGAATTTTAGATTAATATTCTGTGGGGTTTCCTTTATTTTTAATTACAGCACTGACTCTACGTGGCATGCTATTTACCAATTTTTCTAAATCGCTGATGGGAATTTTTAGCCACTCTGCCTTTAGCACTCAATTCCCGCAAATTTTTTGGATGAGGTTTTAACCTATGTACTCGTTGACCCAAAACATCCCATAGATGCTCAATTGGATTAAGGTCTGGGCTTGTGCAGGCCATGGAAGAGAGGCAATCAAATTTTCCTCTTTCCATTCGATTACAGACTTTGCCCTATGCACAGGTGCATTATCATCTTGAAAAGTGTATGTAATATCATCAAGACTTTGTATAAACCCTAACAAATGCTCTCCTAACAGCTTTTTATATGCATTGCCTGTAATTGATCCGTCAACGACTACTAAAGGACCAAGTCTCTTTTTCGTAAAACATCCCCAAACCATAATGCCTTTGTTACCACTTTTTACAGTAGGAAACATGCAATCTATATCGTACTGTTCATGAGGTTTACGATGTCTGCCATCATTTTCATACAAAAGAAAGCGAGATTCATAACTCCAAATAACGTTATTCCATTCTTCATCCCACTGTCTTCGTTCTATGTATTTCAATAATCCAATAGGAAGGATCAGGAGGGAAGTGGAATAGTTGTTGAATTTGGGGGAAATGATAGAATTTATCGACCAAGTCATGCATGTCAAAGTAAACGTGATTTGTATTCATGAAAACAAAAACGTTGCGGGTAAAATTTATTTTGTTTGTTTAATATTTAACATATTCTTGATACTACTTCCAATTGTAGACATTGTGTGTTATGTTACATATTCACAAGAGGATCCGTTGTTTTGTGAATGGCTGTCACTATAATAATAAGCTAAACGGCTTTGCGAAAATTATCGTGTAATACCTGAATTTCGCACTCTCTGACGGGTCAACGACGTGTAGTCTCGAGCCATATGTATATCGTTTCAATCCATAAGGCACGTGAGTAATTTGTACAGAAGAATACACAAGCAAAACTTGTGGTTATATTCATAGACAGCTAGGTGGTAGTGGATCTAAGGTGTTTTGGTGTCCTCAATGTAAAATATTAACGGTGCTCGCAAAATTCTGCTTTGATATCTTACAAAAAAAATTATCTTAGGCTGACGCGTGATATTCCCTTACAGGACTTGTTATTATCTAATTTAGACTTTCTTAGTGTGGAGTTTTATCAATAATGATAGGTTTTAATGTCAGAGGTTTTAATGTCAGAGGTTTTAATGTCGTAGGCGTATAGTTAGGATACCTTCTCCCTTTAAATGCACGCCCGTGATTTTTATTCGAATTGTTATGATAATGACGTAAACCGCTTGCTCAATCTGTAACAATAACAAGACTAAAGAGCTGTCATTAATATGTACTGTCAGGGAATCTTCTCACTTGTTGGGAATGGACAACGAATAAGAAAACGAAAGCACGTGATAGTGCAATTAGATATGCGTCAGCCTTTGTCTTTGCCTTCATTCGATTGATAATATAGGCTGCGGACCGTCGCATTGTTCTATAAATACTAATAACGTGTAAATAACAAAATGTGCTGTCAAAGCGTCTATAAAAGTAGATGGAAAGACAAGTCAACGTTGATTCAAAATAGGCTATAAGATAAGTGTCACTATGCTCAACTAAAGCTGTTACAATACTAGATCGAACAACATCGACCTGTCACACAAGTCTCGTTACTCATTTTGAGAACTTATGCTTTATTGTCTATTTACATTATATCCAACCCATTCCGAGAACCCACTCACAGAAATAATTGTCTTATATATAATTATGTCATCCATCACACATGTGAATACAACTCTCCATCATGCGCTTTCACTCTTGAACCTACTTCCGGTTGACATTGTGAAAGTATCTCCCCGTTGAAAGCACGACAACTGTGCTGGTTTAAAAATCCAGCAAGAAGGCGATCGATGGCCTCAAGAAGATCCTGCTCCCAAAAGCCAAGTTCATAATCTACTAACCCATATCTCTCTAAAACATCAGCCCAATTGATTATCGTTTGTCGTAAATGGCAAAGAGATCCATGGTCAATAAAGGTCGAATGTTTGGAGGGCACATTTGTCTGTGTTAGAGCATAGATCCATGTGTTGTTAAGACTACGCCAAAAATTCTCTTGTTTGACTCTGTACAGTGATGGAAAGTCATCTCCCGATAGACCTATTACAATAGAGCGTGTGTGCGTGAGTAACAATCAGTGTGGTATGTGTGTTCTGAGGTTATTAAACATATTATCAATTGCATTGTCATATACATGTACACATACCCAGATACTCGCAATTAGAGACTACGAGCTCAGTAATCTCGGACAGTATTTGGATCGCCATAGATAAATTCCCTTGTCGAAGAAGTCCCTCTACTCTTTTCAGACTGTTTTGAAGTTCATCAAGCGACACTGTCGACTGATCTGATACGAGTCGCAGACTATGTGATTGTTGATGAAGACGTCGTTCTTCCCGTTCCTGGTTTTGTCCTTGATGATGTTGTAAATGCTGTCCAAATTGAATATTCAATTGAGTATCACTTTGTTGGTGATGAGTTTGTGGTTCATGTACTCGGAGTAGTGTTGCCGCAGCAGAAAACGCGTCCTGAGTACCAGAGTCAGTGACAAGCATCGTATGAGCGGTTTGATGTGGGTCTATGGTTGATGCGGCTACTAAAGCACCAGGAGAGTCATTGGTAGTCGCATTCTGTGGAGTAGACATAATGTTTGAATGCATTGCTTCAGTAGAAATGTCAAAGTGACTACTATGAGTGAAATCGAAGGTGCCTGCCCACATTTAGTGCTGTTTATGTTAGTAACTGCAATTCAATGCTGCCCACAGATAAAAGGATTCCATATACAGTTTGCAACTAATATTCAAGTAAGCAAGCGGGTCCCTTCTTTATGCTATGGTATTTCTAATAAGTGATTATACTGTCGTTGAGGTTAGAGAATTTTGCCCTAAACTGTATATTATGTCATCTATTTCATAAATTTTTTGCAAGTCCAATCATCGTTTAGTGGCTTGTCTTTCTCGTTCGACATGTTGCCACCTCATAAGGAGAATAGCTCGTATATATCGAATGCGCTGTGAATGAAGCCTGAAAACAGAGGATCGTCTTGTTGTAAAGGAATGGAGGGGCCTTGATGGAACAACGGCTTCTTGTCGATAGATATGAGTGTCGTCTGTGGCTTCATTAAATGAATTGAGTGGCGTAATACGACTCTTTGCATACTTTGTGATTGGGTGAACGCATCAGTAAAATCTGGGAAGGGGTCGAAATTAACATTAACGCGAAATGAACAAACTGATTTGCTATTATAAGAGAACAGATAAGTTGATAAAACGGCAAAGGTCAAGGTCTGCGAACACACAATTACAACCAGTGTCGAATTTCTGCAAAATAATTTTGTTAGCAAACGCCTCCGCAAGTAATAAGAGAAGCGATTAACAGGGAAGAAAACATTGTCTTATATATTTCTTGACCAGCGGTGAAATTTAAATTCATGATTGTTTATAATTCCATATTTCGATGCCTTCTTGCGTCGTCAGTATCCGCATTTTGTCATACCTTTTCTTATTTGTAACGTTTCCACTATTGGGTGGGTGATTATAGACACTTTAATTGGAGTTTAGCTCTCGCTACTTGTTCTTGCGAACAAACATGCAATAATTGTGATGTAGTTTCAAAGACTATTTTTTAATAATGTCCTCGATTAAAATTATAATAGGAGAAATACGTGGTGTAACAGAGAAGACAAAGTCTGGTTTTAAGGAGTGAGTATGGCTAAAATTTCTTACTATTACTTTAAATTTGCCAACGCAGTTTCCTTCCCTCACTGCTCCGCAAAGAAGAATGATGGTTAAATGCAACTGCAACTAATGTACTCTACACAAGTTAAGCAGAGGTAAAATCAGCAAGTGTAATCCATTTTACTCTTTCTGATCGGTGAGTTAAACAAACCTTTCTTTGTCTGGTTAGCTAATTGAGCTTGTAACTGATCGACTTGTTGTTTGAGAGTTTTGATCTCTTCGTCTTTTTGGACTATTTGTCTCTCCAAATACCGTATATCTTCAATCAGCCTGCCCTTAGCTTGGCCGTAATTTTTGCCGCGAAAGCAGTTGGGGAAATTACTGTTCCACTTGTCACTGTATTTTTCCATATGAATAATTATTGAGACAACCAAAACATGGCTGCCTGTTATATATTGCGTAATACAAGACGTCATAATTTTACATTTTGAACGTCACATACTTTAACTTGTAAGTCACGTATGGAAATATTTCCACTGAAATGGTAAGCATAAGAAGAAAGAGGCTGGCAAGCTTTACAAGCTTAACGAATTCTCAGGTCCGGGATTCAACGAGTTGTAGTTGCTGACTGTGATATTTACACTGGGGAGCTTTAGTTGCGAATAATCGGGAGTTTTGAGGCGCATCCGTTAAGGTGACCTATGGCCAGAACGATTACTCGATAAACCTTAACTGAAGGAATTATCTCTTGTTACAATTATTCATTTTTCCCACCCAAATTATCTCGTTGATAAATCGTACAAATTAAATATTTTAATTCGTCTTCACAGAACCAATTGATTGTGAATAATTTATGTAAAATCCATAGCTATAGAAATTATACTCTAACCATATCATAAGCAATAATTTAAACGACTGAATACAATCCTTTTTGCGTATGCATTCGTTACGTTCTTCATGAACGAGCCAAAGGCAATTGATCTAAAAATTCTTTCATTTTGTTACATACTCTCTCTGGATCCTCAACGTGCTAACATTCGAGATATCATACAATGTAAGAGAAAGAGAGTTTCAATATGTCAATAGTCAATATAGTAATATGACATAATCGTGCGTGCTTATTTGACGATATTCTTATCACTCACCGGATAATGACCAAGTCCCTCGATGATAAAAGCCTCGATCTTTGAAGATTTCTTATAGCTCTCTTCTAATAGCATCGGTTCTGCCGCTGCATCGGAAAAGTCGGGATCTTTATCACCGTAGATCAACAATACAGGTGCTTGGACCTCTGGTACAAGCTTCCATGCTGGTTCTTTGGTTGCCTTTATGAATGCAACCATTACGGCTAATTTCCCTTTTTCTTGAAGCATTTCCTTCAAAGAAGTAGCATACTCTTCCAAGTCGGCAGGTTTTTTCGATTGATCGGTGAATAAGGATTTCCAGTACATTATCCATACGGACGCACCCCAGAAAGACGAGAACAGTGGACCGCATATCGGACGAAAATACTTATCTACGAATCATGGAAAGAGAACATCGCAAGACAATCAATAATAAACTAACAGTAGAGATCATCCAGGATTAGAATTGAAGCAGCTTTAGAGGGCCACCTTAGTTGCGCCTAATAAAGGACACAAAACCAGGATTAGAATTGAAGACGTACCTGCAGGCAAGTCCCTTACCAATCCGTTTAATATGACTATACCCTGCACTCTGTCAGGATGTTTGACAGCCACGATATTGGCTGAAGCAGCCGATAATGAATGACCAACGAGTACGGCCGGTTTCACAACACGCGCATGATTTAAAACGGCGATCATATCTCTAATTATCAAAGAGGTACATTACTCAATATTAATATCAAGGCTACTACGACTGTTTGATGAATTTTGTACAACACTCACCCTGCCACGTCTTCGGGTGTATAAGACGAGAAGCCAACAGAACTCTCCCCGGCTCCTCGCAAGTCCATAACAATGATTCGATATCTCCCATCCCTATGGAGCTTCGGTGCTATGAAGCGGTAGCTCTGTCTTGCATCCCCGAGCCCGGGAACAAGTAGTATCGCTGGTTTCGCTTCCTCTCCTGTATCCTCGTACGCTATGGTGGTTGACGCGTCTGGTAACGGTGAGGGTGCGAATTTCGTGACTGAGTTGGAGAAGACGGGTGAGAAAGGCATTATTACTTTTACAAAGAATAGCGACAAAGATTGTGGCGACGCTGACTATTTATGTAGGAGCGGTATACACTTTATATAATCATAACAGCTTCTGGTTTGGGCGTTTCCGCCTCTTTACTTTACCCGTGATCTGCATGTAGTACAAACTAGTTTGATAATGGAAAATGCAGAAATAGAACTACAGGTATTGTATACTAGCACCCACATCCTTAGCCTAGTATCATAAAGAATTATTTCGCCGAGGCGGGCAACTTCGGTGAAAGCGAACGGATAAATACTCGATGAATATGTAAACTTGTATAATTTGCATCACCATCTAGAAATTGTGTATCACAATCTGTCTACCCCCAAACCCAATTTTACGCAGTTTAAGGTTATGTGGGTGACGCAGATGACATCTAGTAAAACTAAATATCCTATAACAGGTTAGAATAATATTGTCACGTGTATATGCGAATAGATACAAGCGCCGTAAGAAGAATGTTAGTACTTGTCAATAAATAACAACAATACTAACAACAACAAAGGTTATGAGAATATGAGTAGTCGGCCAATTAGTAAAAATGATTGACTAAGCCAAATTACAGTCTGTTTTTCTATACCGGTTTCACTGCATCAAAAATTACATACTAATCTCACCCCTTACAATGGCTGAATGCAGCCACCGGCCTACTATCCGTATCCACGGATTATCAAATTTGTCTGTTTGCCATGCCCAACCTCTGGTTTACGGTAGTAAATCTACTCAATACACATTCCTCCAAAGTTCCATTCGCAGATTGAAACGACCTAAAGACGACGATTAAAGCAAGATGGCGCCAAGACTCGATACACACCTTGCGTTGGAAGTAATGGTCAAGGCTGAAAAGCACGATGCCCTATGACCAAGCGTAAAACTTTGACGATCTGGAAGAAGCGATTCTGATTTTTCGGGTGGACCGCATAGTTTTAGTATGTCGGTATTGGAATTTAATTGTAATACTAGCAAACAGACTTCATCGGTAAGTAAGTAGTAGAGATTGAACAGTATGAGATACAGTACATGTTAACAAAAAGTTCATACGCCGCAATCATGTTTATCTACTTTGAGACGAGAAGAGACCATCGTGTGAATTAATTATAAATTCAAGGTTTGGATCTATGAAGATGCCCACATATTTTAAGAGCCTTTTTACTGCAAGAACACCTTAGCATAGTAATGAAGGAACGCGAAAATCTTATGGAGATGCTCGCTTATATATGTAAATAGTGAATATAATAATAATAATAATAATAATGATTCTACACAACGCGAAAAAACAATGCGTTTCTTGGGCAATTGTGGTTGTTCAAAAAAGATTCCGAAAGAAAAGTTGGCTGAATTACGGGAAACGTTTCAAGCTCTCTCTCGATCTGAGCAAGATATGTTTTAATGACCCAGCTGAAAGTAATGAAGGACAGAGAAAATAACCGCCAGCTGACGAACTTTTATTAAAATCGCAGCACGCCGCTTTGTCAGAAAACATATCTTAAATGTTTTGGGAATTGGTCGCGTTCATGGTAATGTAAAAAATGTCGCGACGAAAGCCAAAATAATCATTGATATAATTGTTACTACCGCTGTGAATAATTTTCTCGGAAATTATGCTGAATTTATGGATTTACCAAGTGCTGGTAGAAACGCCACCGAATTACTTAATTATGTGACACGCCAAAATTTTTCGTAACGGGTCACAACTCTCTCGAAAAAGGTCTTTGATAGCTGCAGTTTGTGACGCTGAAGTTTGTGACGCTGATTACTGCATCCTGGTGATTTTAAAAAGTTGCATGTTTGTCTTATTTGTTGGTTAAATCATAATAGTAATATTGGTAAGCCACCAGTTATATTCTCAACAATGCCTTTTTAATGTTTTTTATCAAAAATAAATCACAGCTAGTCCAAATATTGGTATTGGACAGCATTAACCAGAGGAAATAAAGCTGGCAATGTCTTCTGTCAATTGAGCTGTATATTTGTTAGACATGGGACTGATCATCAATCCTAAATTTGAACATAAAACGGCCTTGTCAAACAAAAGTCTGGATGGAAACTTTTATAAAACATGAACATAATAGTAATGCCCGGTTTACGACATGCGTATGTGCGGGCCTATTGTTAACGAGTTTAACATGCAGGCAAAATTGACACAACTCACCTACAACTGGATCTTCGTGGTTCATTCCTGGGTACTGACATAGTCTAATACCCTCAATTTTGAGATCCAGGAGAACTTGGTGAAATTGCAAGGTTGCTTCAACAGGCACAGTATAGTCCTTTAAAACAATGCGTAGTCAATGTCTGTAAGTACCAATCTTCAATACATGTTAATATCAATGTAATAAAGAATATCTACCTTATCACCATGAATCAGTAAAATCTTCTTTGGTAATGCCTTTTTTAAGTTTTCAATATTGACACAATTCTCAGACAAAGCAGTCTTAAGAA